TTCGCCAAACTGTGAATGATTTGGAGCTAGACTGGGCTAAACTAGCTAGTGTGACAACTGATGGTGCTCCTAGCATGGTGGGGTTTATGAAAGGAGTAGTTGCACACATTACCCAGAGATGGACAAACACAACCATTCACGTCCAATAGCCATACACTGCCTCATCCACCAACAAGTGCTGTGTTGTAAATCACTGAAGTGGGGCTCTCTCATGAAAATTGTGGTGTCTTGTGTTAACTTCATTAGAGCTCATGCACTAAACCTCAGTTTCAGGAATTTCTGTCTGAGCTAAATGTTGCCTATGAAGATATTCTGTACCACACAGAAGTCCATTGGCTGAGTCGAGGGAGAGTTTTGAAATGGTTTTATGACTTACTTTCACAGGTTTCGGCTTTCAAAAAACAAAGAAGTACCAGAGCTCAAAGATGCAGAATGGAAATGGCACCTTACCTTTCTGATAGATGTAACAGAGCTACTCAACAGTTTCAATAGGCAACTTCAAGGAAAGGGTAAGCGCATCTGTGGATATGCATTCACATGTGAAAGCATTTGAAGTAAAATTAGACCTCCTCATGAAGCAAGTCAAGGAGGAAAACTTCTGCCATCTCCCTACAACTCAAAACATGTTGTTGGAAAAACCAGCAGTTGCATTCCCAAACAAAACATGTGTGGATTCACTGGAAATGTTGCAAAAGGAGTTTCAAATTAGATTTAAAGAGCATCATCTCTATGAACAGGTCATACAGCTTTTCCAGAACCCATTTTCTGTTGACATTGAAATTGCTGATCTGATTTACCAAATGGAACTGGCCGAACTACAGAATTGAGGCTCTCTGAAAGATGCATTCAAGTCAAGCAGCCTTACTAATTTCTATGCATCTCTCCCCTTTGAGACATATCTTAATCTCAGGAACCATGCACTCAAAATGGCAACCATCTTTGGCAGCATCTATGTCTGTGAACAGACTTTTTCCTGAATGAAACATCTGAAATCTCCAACCAGATCCAGACTAACTGATGCACATTGCATCACTTGTTACGACTAGCATTGACAAATATGGAACTGGACATTGACCATCTCCTTAGCCATAAGCAGACCCATACTTCCCATTGAAATGTTAATAAGTTTATGTTGGTTGGACAAGCCAAATGTTTCACAAAGCATTTTGATATTTCTTATGTTTCGTTCTGAAACACCATGCTTTATCTTATGTAACAGTGTTGATTAAAATTGTTTTTCATTTTAAATATTGTATTTTTTTTTTTGCACTACAAATAAGTTATGTGGGTGTGCATAGGAATTCATTCATATTTTTTTCAAACTATAGTCCAGGCCCCAACAGTCTGAGGAACAGTAAACTGGCCCCCTGTTTAAAAAGTTTGAGGACCCGTGAGCTACAGGATCAGATTACATTGTAACAGTCAGCCTCTCTTTCTTCCATGCAGCTGGTCTGGGCAAAACGCCTTCTTGCTTTATCTGTACAGGGAAAGGGGGGCTGGGGCCCAGCAGCAAAGCCCTTAAAAAAACAATTATCTGAGAGATATAGTTAACCCCCTCAATCTCAGCCAGGCAGCAGCTGCTAACTAGCATTTCATCCTGCTTACACGTTGGCCTACCTTTCTGAGACCCGACAGCCAGGGTACATCTGTAGAACTATCTCTCACTCTTCAGAGCAGCATTCTAACTGAAACGCACCAAGAGGCTGGATGTGATTAAAGTTCTTGGAAAGCCTCAATTAGTAATATTTATTTGGTATGTCGCAGATCCCCACACAATTCCAACAGCAATATGGACTCTTGGTCCCAGGCCCTGGTGGTGGCTGCTCGTGTTTCTGATGAAAACCACTGAATCCCTGTAGGCCTGTTATTTTTCCTGGGCTGAGGGGAGGAACCAAGGGTTAGACCATTTCCAAAGTCCTCTCCTGAGCCTGCACTGACCCGCTGTAGCTATCTCTCCTTCTCTCTTGGAGCTAAAATGATACAACCCCATGGTACCCTGCCTAAAGGTGAGAGCAGGAGCACAGCAGATATATGTTGCTCCTTCCTCTTCACTGTAGTCTGACCCATCTCCCTCCTAGGTCCTGACTAGACTCCCAGCATTGTCCTAGGGGGAGGAGGCACCTTAAAGGGGAACCTACTCTACAACCTGCCTACAAGCAGGATAAAGGCTCCATGGTATCCCCTGAAAATGCTGCACCATGGAAGGAAGTCTGAATACAGTTAGTCAAATGTAATTGTGGTGCTACTCCGTAGGAGCTGTAGGAGTACAGTCCAGGACCTCCCCAAATACCTTGCCCCGCAGCCAAGCACATAAGCTCATTCACTCGTTTCTCCAATAATCAGTCTAGGGGGTGTTTTTGTTGTTTCTAGGGATGAGTGGCATACTCTAGATTAGCAACTATGTACAATGAGGACTTTGTCTAATCTTCAGAAGAAGTTATATCCAAGTCCATGCTTGAATCAAACAGTGGACTTCATATTTAAGCAGTAGAGACAAGTAGTAGCAGTAACCGCAGTAACTTCTTTAGCCCAGAACAGTGTCCCCTTTAAAGTGTTACTAAACCCACAACACTAAAATCAGTCTGTATATGCAGTAAAGCATGCTTGTTATACTCACTGTTGCCTAAGAGGTTAATCCGCCGCATTGTATACAAAGGCTGTTTGAACCTGTCTTCTCTGATCCTCCCCTTTTTTTACTGTCCCCAATCCATCTGCTGATAGTACAGATCTTTAGGAGTCACTATGCACATTCTCGGTTTAGTGTGCATTGCCAAAGATTTCTTTTGTTTTCTTCGGGAGGGTGCATGTGATCAGCACTGTCCAGACAGAGGGTCAGGGGTCATGCAACCTCATAGGACAGTCAGAGCAGAATGAAATATCATCCAGCAAGCTGTAACCAGTTCTCAGCTGGACACTGATAGAAGTCACAAGACTGCTATATACTGCTGATATGAAAAAGTATTTAGCAGTTTATATTTACTAAAATATTTGAATTTCCGTGTTCTGTGTACTGTGAAAGACTGGATATAGTGAATGCAGGGTTAGTAACACTTTAAGTAGTAGCAGGCAGATGGACAAAGCTCTTTGAAACACCAGCCGGTATTCCCTTTGCTAGACTCACAGCTGACTTCCTAGCACCAGAAGGGGTTAAACAGTACACAGTCTCTAAGATCCTTAGAGATGTTTGTACTCACAAGGCCCAAGAGCAACAGGATGCCTTCCTCTGTGATACCAGATACCAGGTGACAGCCCCTCAGTCAGCATAGCAGAACCCCGGTCTCAGCAATTCAGGCCTTCAGGTAGCCCAGCTGAGGCCTACAGCAGCAACTGCCTGGGAGGGCAACAAGCCCTTTCTTAGGCTTGGGCAAGCCTAGCCAGGAAAGACCCAGAGATCTGTGTGCTCACTGAATCTATACAATTACCCAGCATTCCTTGGGGCCCCTCTCTCTGGGATAGGCTGAGGCTGTATCAATATTCATGCTGTCATCTGCATAACTCCTATCATCCAGAAACATCCACCGTCTCCTGGATACAGTGGAAGCTAGGCAGACTAGCAGCACCTGAGCACACAGAGCAGACCTCACTAAATGATCACAGCTCAGTCAGTACAATTAGCTATGCTTTTCCCTAACAATATTTACAGCCACCGGGACAACTAAATTTGTTGAAAGCATAACTATTCCTAGCTATCTAATCCTAGCACCTACCTAGGAGTAGGGTTGCCACCCTTTAAAACAAAACACATTATTTACGAAGTGAGTTTTATTACCACCTTAATCGGCCACAGAACCTGTGTAATTGTTAGGTGTTCTGGACAGCACAGTGGCTAAATGGTTAGCACTTCCGCCTGGCAGGACTAGGGTCGTTGGTTCGAATCCCAACCATGGCACCACCTGCCTGGAGTTTGCATGTTCTCCCTGTGCCTGCGTGGGTTTCCTCTTGGTACTCCGGTTTCCTCCCACACTCCAAAGACATGATGACAGGTTCATTGGATCCTGTCTAATTTGTCCATAGTATGCGTAAGAATGTGAGTTAGGAACCTTAGATTGTACACCCCTTGAGGGTTAGGGACTGATGTGAGTGTACAATATATATGTAAAGCTCTGACAGCGCTATATAAGTACATGTAATAAATAAATAAACGTGTTCGGTTTTAAAGGGATGAGGTGGCAATTCTACCTAGGAGGCTGCTGAAGTGAATGGAACATGAGATAATTGTGCCACAAAGTTGTGATCGCTGCTAAGTTGCAGTGCCGCCTGAATACAGATTATTCTTGATCGTGGCCTCCATCGTCATAGTTGGGCATTAGCGAGCGAAGTTTCCAGAGCCCCCCCCCTTAAAGTGCCTTAAGCCGTGCCCCACACACTGGCTGCCAGCTTTGTGTTTCTGAGCTTGTACAGATATCAGGCTCTACGTCACTGAAGGGGTTTGGCCGCAACACTGGCCAGGGAGCTCAGTAACTCTGACCTGTGACTTTACCAGGCTCGGCATTACAGAGCTGTACGGAGGATGGAATGCCTGGTATGGACACAGTGCGGCCCCTCAGGAGTGCTGCCTGAGGCGGCCACTTCACATGACCTCAGTCACTCAGTATGCAGCCATTTTAGAGTGAACAAGTACTGCTCATTTCAACTTCATTCTAAAGTTTACTCACATGCACTGACAGGACTAAACCAAATTCAGAGCACAAAGGGGTCTCTAGCAAATCTACATCATAGCATTATATGTGGTAATACAACCCTCGGTTTTGTTATAAGATATCAACAAAAATGATTATTTAGAGTATATAACAGCATTTATATCCTGTTCTTTGAAGATATTTATGAAAAGCATTAGAAAATGAGTTGGCACAGTCCCAAATTACAGGCACGCCCATAGGACTGGTTACAAACAAAATATAGTCAGTTCCAGAAGTAGCAAAGAAGTGATTGTTGAAGATAGAGAGCAGACAATGGCCCTGAAATCAGACTCCTGTGTGGCCCTGAATGATGGGCACAAGATGCCGGTGATGGGGTTCGGTACCTACGCCCCAAAACAGGTGAGGTGCTGTCATTCTAGGGATCAGATTACATAGATGGTTAAATGTCTCTGATACTGACATTTTTTTTTTATCCAAGCAAATTTATTAAAAATGAAACAAAGCAGATAACATTGACAGTGGAGCTGTACAGTTTGATCAAGGCCTGGACAAGGAGGGCTGGGGGGTGCTGTGTATACTCTGTGTATATTCTAGTCACAGTTTGCAAAACATTTGTAAAGTAGCAGTGGGGTGTTGGTGTGGGAATGCTCCCTGCACTCCTGACATGGACTGGGGCCCCTGTTCACTGGAAGAGGAAGCTCCAGGATCTTACGAATGATAGTGTAGCCCAGCATTTCTCAAGTAGGGTGCCGAGTTGTGTTTCATGTTTTTGCACAGCACCATGCAAGTCCATGGTGCAAATGGGCCAACTGATGTAAAAGTGGGCATCTGAGGACCCCCCATGTGAAGGGTGAGGATGAGGACTCTGATTTACCCCGGTTCACATCTGTGTGGGTGGTGCTGCTGTGGGACCCGCACAAATACCTGCAGCCACACTACCCGCACAGAGAAATGCAGGACACGCAGTCAATTCTAATGGCATGCCACCCGCACTGGAAATCAAAACTGTATTGGGAACCTAGGTTCCCATGTGGGCTGCAAAGTAGTGCAGGGATTTCTTCCCTGTATGTCCTGGGGCACAGGAGTCCATTCAAATGAATGGGCTCTCACGCCAGCGCAAATCGCAGACAGCACAGATGTCAACCAGAGCTTAAAAGGGAGGCTGATTTGAAGGTAGGGCATTGAGGACTCCTATGTGAAAGGGAGAGACATTGAGGACTCTGATGTTTGAAGGGGGGACTGATGTTAAAGAGGAGCTCCAGTTGTTTTTGTGTGTATTAACCATTTGCCGCCCGCCCTATGGCCGGCAAATGTCATCAGCGTTCCGTGTGGATGCCATATGGCATCCTCCCGCACATGCGAAGATCGCGCTCCTGCAGAGCCGCGCAGTGGCGCAATCTGTCACCGGCCGTGTACCACAGACACGGCCGATGACAGATCTGAGTATCGGCCCCCGTTGCGGTACCATGTGACCTGCTGTGACCAATCACAGCAGGTCACATGACAGTTGTATACAATGGATGGCTTCATTCATGCCATCCATTGTATACTAGTGTCTAGCTGTGAATGGTCACAGCTAATCACATGCACATGTCATGTGATTAGCTGTGGCCAAATCACAGCTAAGCACAAAAAAAAAACCCTGAACGAATCGATGTCATTCAGGTAAATGCTTGCTTATAGCAAAGTAATTCTTTGCTATAAGCAAATTGTGTAAAAAAAATAACATAAATACTGATCACTTCCCCAAAGTAGTACAATATTACTATGGTAACATTGTACTACTTTGGTCATAGTGAAATATGAAAAAAAAATCTTAAAAAAAGAAAAAAAAATTAATAAAAAATAATAATAATTAAAAAAAAAATATATATTTTTTTTCATACTGTCACCAGTCAGTGTCCCTGATCACCGCCATGCCAGTTATATGATGACGCTGTACTGCACTGGTGACAATATGTAAAAAAAAAATTGTGAAACTAATTTTTTTAATTGTTTCATTTTCCGAAAAATTATGACAAAAAAATACAACTTCAAAAAACTCGCCATGCCTCTTATGAAGTACGTCGGACTGTCTACTTTGCAAAAAGGAGTCATTTGGGGGATATCTGTACTGTTCTGACATTCTTGGACCTCAAGAAATTAGATTGGCTGTCAGTACTTCAGGAATGATCAATATTCAGATCTATACCATAGTTTGTGAACTCTATAACTTTCCTACAAACTAAATAATACATCCTAATTTGGGTGATTTTCACCAAAGACATGTAGTAGAATACATCTTGGCCTAAATTTATGAAGAACAATTATTTATTTGCAAACTTTTATAACAGAAACAAAGAAAAACGTGTGTTTTTTTTCAACATTTTTGGTCTTTTTTTGTTAATTTAGCAAAAAATAAAAACCCCAGTGGTAATTAAATACCACCAAAAGAAATCTCTAGTTGTGTGAAGAAAATGATAAAATTTTAGTTTGGCTTGAATGTTGTATGACCGCGCAATTGTCATTCAAAGTGTGAGAGCGCTGAAACCTGAAAACTGGCCTGGGCAGTAAGGTGTAAAATTGCCTGGTATTGAATTGGTTAAAAGACAGCACCTACAGTTTTTGTACCTTAGCTGCAGATTCTTAATAAACACACTCACCTGTCCCAGGATCCAGTGATGTGCTTACCCAAACCATCTCTTCTCTCCCTCTCACTGGCATCTCCACTGTGGGCACCTGCACATGTGTGAGTTACGCTGCACCTCTTGACTGGTCCAGCAGTCTTCTGGGACCTGTGAAGTGTCCAAAAAGACTGCAGGAAGGGGAGATGAGAACTTCTGCTCAGATCACCTAGGGAGCAGGTACCTTTCAAAACTAGGTACCCGCTCCCCCTCAAAAATTGCATGCCAAATGTGGCAGGGGAGGAGTACTTAAAACAGAACTTCCCCTTTTGGGTGGAGTGCCGCTTTAAGGTGAGGGCTTAGAATTGTGATGTTAGAGGGGGGCTGAGATCTCTGATGTGAAAGGGAGGTACACTGAAGACTCTGATGTTGAGAGGGGGAGACTAAGGACTCTCATATTGAGGGGGGGGGACTATGGATTCCAATGTGGGGGGTGGACTAAGGATGCTGATGTTGAAGGGTGGACTAAGGACACTGATGTGAAGGGGTAGGGCTGAGAACTCTGTTGTTGCCCTCATTGCACCCTCATTTTTGACTGGGATGCCTTGAGAATTTGAATACTTTTATAGGGTTCTGTGACTTAAAAAATGTTAAGACACACTGGTGTAGCCTGAGGTGCAGAATCTAAAGAGTGCCTGGGTTTTGCTGCAACACCGTTGCCAGGTTGTGGTCCTCAGACACAACCGAGCAGGCTACAGATGATTATAAACCAGTAACAACTAAACACAGAGCGGTATGAGAGTATCTCGCAGCACTGGGGTCCTGGAATCACAAGTGCAGTAGGGACGGTCTCCTGCAGCACAAAGAATACAGAAGCAGCAGAGAGTCTCTTGCAGCACTGGGAGCACAGGAGCAGCCTAGAACCATGTTGATGGCACCTGGAGTATACAAGGCAGCCATGTGTAGTAAGGCTCATTTGGAGGGTCATATACATTTACATCATATGTAGTTAATCACGGTTTTAAATTGCAGCAATATGCTCTAAAAAAGGCCAGCATGCTGCATTTTTTGTATGTAAATGTACCGAAGATGCAACTCATTCCCACAAATGCAGCAAAAAGCATTTGTACCAAACGCCAATGCAGGTAAATACAGAACTGGGACTAGGTTCACTGTCAAACCCCCAGAGTAGTATAGAGTCACTATGGTGATACTGCACTGCTCTGGTGACTGTATGTTAAAGACATTTTACAAATTTTCAAAAAAAAAAAAAAAACATTTATACATTTTTCTTACATACTGTACACCAGTCAGTGTCCCTAATCACCGCTGCACAAGTCATTGTTCCTGACCACAGCCACACCAGTTATGGTGTCCCTGCAGCTCAACCACCCCTGAATACTGCAGCCAGTCACAGTTGGTGTCCCTGATTGTCGTCTGTACTGACCCTGGCCTGTTAATAACCACATTCTGCCAGTTGCCTGACCTGATTGTTTGCCTGTATGACCATGTCTCTGCCTACACCTCAACTGACCCATCTGCATGCCCGACTATGTTCCTGCAAGACACCAGTCCCAGACATCCTCTGCGGTGCACTCCTGGAACCACAAGAACTCCTTTGTTCTTACTTTCTTAACCTCCTGTACTTCCCGACCAGTGAATATGGCATGTCTGGGGGCAGCCATGTACCAGTAGGCTAGGCATGCTTGGCTTATATGAGCTGGGACTGCTTTAAGTGATGCTACACTGAGCTATGTTGCCTGTCCATTACCGTACATTGATTTTGATACTATTTATTACAGGTACTTATATATTGCCATATCAGTCCAAAAAGTGAAAGTCTCACACAGGTGATATCACTGCACATGGGAGAAGTAGCGAGTGTTTTGGTGTGTAATTCTAAGTATGCCCATTCTGTGTGTTAGAAATTTCCTAATAAATTGACAATCATGTGTTAAAAAAAAATAATTTTCACTTTCATTCTGCATTTTCCAAAAACCTGTGGCAAAAAAATGAAGTCTTCATAAGACTCACTATGCCTTTCAGAAAATACCTTGGAGCACAGGTTTCAAACTGGTGGCCCTCCAGCTGTTGCCCCATGATGCATTGCAAGATTGACAGTTACAAGCATGACTCCCAAAGGTAGAGGCATGATGGGACTTGTAGTTTCACAACAGCTGGAGGGCCACCAGTTTGACATCCCTGCCTTGGAGCAACTTTTCATAATCTTTTTAAAATAGAGGAATCCTTGAAATAAATTTTTGGTCTAAGGGAATCCCTGATAGTAATTGTCAGGGCTTTTTTTCAGCAGGGATGCGGGGGAACGCAGTTCCGGCACCTCCATCACTGAATGTGTGTAATGGCAAGGGGTGCTGGGGTGTTTTAGAGGGTCTATTGATGCTGGCTGCTGGGGGATCTATTGTCACTTGAGGAAATCTATTTTTGCATGGTGGTCTATTGTTGCTGGGAGGTCAACTGTTGTAGGAAAAGATCTACTGTTGAGGGAGGGGTCTATTCTTGCTTGCTGATGGGGGATCTGTTGTTGCTGCTGGGGGTCTATAGTTGCTGGGGTGGTCTTTTGTTGTAGGGATCCATTGTTGCTGGGGGGGGGGGGCTATTGTTTCTGGCTGAAGGGGATCTATTTTACTGCTTTTCTTGTTATCATAAACAAATTCCATACAAAATGATACTTGGCTTTGTATTCTCTAAAAGGACTGTTCCTGGGAGGTGGGTAGGGGGTTCAAACCAAGGGATGGTGCTCAGAGACAGGTAGGGGGTGAAACCAAGGAACAGTGCTCAGAGGTGGGTAGGGGGCAGAAACTCAGAAGGGTGGAGTTCCTGCATCTATTCTCTGAGGGACAAAAAGCCCTGGTAATTGCTATAGGTATATATTTAGCTCACGGTATATTAGTGTGATGGTCAATGTGGAGTAGGCTTCTTACATTTGGGGTCATTAGGAAGAATCCCCCCTTACAGATAGCTAAAAAGATCATTGGGGTTAGTGGTTACTTATCTGAGAGGCAGAAATTTCTCATTGCTCACGGAACCCCTAGAAACCTTTTCAAGGAACCCTAGTTTAGAATAGCTGCCTTGGAGTGTTTACTTTTCATAAAGTAATTGTATGGGTGTTTCCATTGTGTTGATGCTCTGGGGCCTCCAAAAACGTGGTAGATAGTCAGGACATTAGATGCATAATGTATGTGTAATTTATATGTCTTGAAAGCCCAAAAGCGCTGCTTGGATTTTGGGCACTTCTATGTATCTAGTCTGTGAAAAAGTGTCACAAGTGCTATCCCCATACTCGCGAGGCAGAACAGAATGAGTTTTGTGGTGTAATTATAAGTGTGCATATGCTGTGTGTGAAAAAAGTCTTCTTAAAATGAGAACTTTGTGGAAAAAAACAAATTTTATATAAATACTTTTCCAAAAATGTATGCCAAAAAATTACACCGTCAACCTCACCATGCCTCTTGCTAAATACCCTGGGCTGTCTACTTTCCAGAAAATGGGTAATTTGGGGGGTAATTGTGCTGTCCTGGCATTTTAGAGCCCTAAGAAATGAGATGGGCAGTCAGTACATCAGGAATGATCAATTTGCTAATATACTGTATGTACCATAGTTTCTAGACTCTATAACTTTCACAGACTAAATAATATACACTGATTTGGGTTATTTTCATCAAAGAAATGTAGCAGAATACATTTTGGTTTACATTTTTGAAGAAAGATTTATTATTAAAATTTTATAACGGAAACTAAGAAAACCGTGGGGGGGGGGGGGGGTTGTTGGTTTGTTTTGTTTTTTTTTTGTTGTTTTTTTCAGAGTTTTTGGTATTTATTTTTCAATTACATAGCAAAAAATAAAGTGGTGATTAACTTCCACCAAAAGAAAACTCTTATCTGTCTCCATGATGTGATAAAAATGTAATTTGGGTACAATGTGCATGATTGAGTAATTGTCATTCAAAGTATGACAGTGCTGAAAACTGAAAAATGGCCTGGACTGGATGGGGGTGAAAGTATCTGGGCTTGAAGTGGTTCAAGGCATCTCAAAACACCCTATCAGCACAGCTGCATTGTAGCACCTCACAGCACAGGGTAACACAACATTTCAGTGTTAGAAAAAAATAGTGCATGAAACATTTTTAGTGCATTTTGGTTCATTAGCAGGGGCGGGCTGACCATTTGGAAACTCGGGCACTTCCCGAAGGCCCGGGGTCAGTAGGGGCCCCATGAGATTACCCTGGTACCTTTTTTATAGGCTTATTTGTTTGGGCAAGGACACAGGGGCCCCATGATCCCCTATTGCCCAGGGCCCCATGAGTTGTCAATCCGCCCCTGTTCATTAGGCATCCTATCCAAATAACATGTGTTTGCTAATGCACCACAACAGTGTGAATGCAGGCTAACAGAGACCTTAAATGTTTTCTATCATCACTTATTGCCCACATGACACGGGAAATGTGTTCAAACCTGTCCTTCAAGTGGGATGAACTATAATGGGTGAGGCTGGTTGAAGTGCTGATGGATCCAGCAAGATCTGCCTACATCTTAACTGACTAGTGCTAGAAAGACAAGCAACAAGCACATTGACTTTGGAATGAGCATTTTGAATGCCATTGTTTGAACCTTCTTTTTTTTTTTTTATATTGCCAGTGGCATCTTTTGCATGTTTTTGGTATACTTTGCTTTCAATGTTGCAATTTTACATTTCAAGCTTATATAGGCTGAAGGAAAATTCAAAGAGAAAAGAGCAAAATTTGGCAGCAATTGACAGATTGTGTGACCAGCATAACTATGCACCAAAATCAGTAATTATGTTGTTTGCATATTGTAGAGCATCATATGCCTTATCAGTGCATCATGTACCAGGATAAGTGTGCAAAGTAGAATTTATTGCATAGTGCGTGTATGGTATTTAGATCGCTAATGTGCATTGCATTAAAGTCCAACTCACCTTTTAGTTTAAATCAGTTTAACACATTTCAGGCAGACTAAACCCAAAGTGCAAAGTATGACTTCTTGGAACCAGCGTCAGGTGCAGACCTCCCTCTGCAACTGCACGTTGGACACCCATAAACTTTTATACAGTTCTGTGGATTGGATGGGTAGTAGCACATTTTACCATAAATATTAATGTAATGCTTTATATTACAAAGTAAAGGAAAACTATTTTGTTCTTAAAATTTTATGGGTTTTTTTTCTTTATATAGTATAAAAGAAAAACAATGGTTAATAAATACCAGCAAAAGATTAATGATATCAAATTGATTTGCGTACAGTGTTGCATAATCAATTGACAGTCAAATTATCGCAGCACTGACAACTGACAAATGGCCTGGAGAGAAAGGGTGTGGGGTTACCATGCCAGTCCTGAAGTGGTTAGCCTTAAAGTGGAAACACTATTTCTTCATAATGTATTGCTCCCTTTTTTTTATTGCAGTACACTAAAGAGCAGGCTGAAGAGGCTACAAAGGTGGCCATTGATGTTGGCTATCGTCATATTGACGGTGCTTTTATCTACGGCAATGAGGTACAAGTTGGCCAGGCTATCAACGCAAAGATTGCTGATGGAACAGTGAAGAGAGAGGACATTTTATGTACTGGAAAGGTAACTAGACCTTTTTGTATTAAAAATTGTTGTTAAAATGACACTTTGTGAGGGAAAAAAAATTTAATTAGTTTAAAAAAAAAAAACCCCTAAAACTTCAAAAAAACACCATGCCTCTTACTAAATACCTCAGACTGTCTACTTTCCAAAAACGAGTCATTTGGGGATATTTGTACTATCCTAAAATTTTAGGGCCTCGTGAAATTAGATGGGCAGTCATTACATGAGGACTGATCACTTTTCAAATATATATATATATATATATATATATATATATATATATATAATTATAGTTTGTAGACTCTAACTTCAACACAGACTAAAAAGCTAGTGATGGGCTGCATGTTTGAGTCTAACTTAAGTTCGACTTGAACATGGGTCCTTTGTGTGTTCGTTAAGTATTTATATGCAATTCATAAAATCCACATGAAAGGTAACACCAACATGTCAGGAAAAAACAAAAAAAACAGAAACCACACCACGGCATAGCGCCCTTTGGGTCTGGTATGGATTTTTGGAGGGATCCCCGCACCCTTTATTTTATTTTATTTATTTTTTTCATTTTGGTGTGGGGTGTTCCCCTCAAAATCCATACCAGACCAGACCCGTAGGGCCCTATGCCGTGGTGTGGTTTCTGTTTTTCTGTTTTTTTCCTGACATGTTGGTGTTCCCTTTCATGTGGATTTTATGAATTGCATATAAATACAGCTGGATACAACAAAAAACTGTGTTTGTCTCCATTTCAGGCTACAAAGCAACAAAATGTGATTATTTTAAAAGGGGATTCTTTGCTATACTCACTGTACGTACTAATGTAAATGCATGCATTGGGGGCACCTATGCAAGCCAGAGCGAAGGCAACAATTCTAGGTCCATTTTTCATGGTTAACACTAAACTGATGACCTGAAGGGCTTTTAAAGTATTGCCTATGAAAAATATAGGGTACTGAAGTTTGCCAGTTTCACGGCTGCATACAATTTTGAGTTTTGACATGTTGGGTATCTATTTACTTGCCACAATCTCATCTTTTATATTTTACTTACAATAATATGGTAATATATTACATTTTTGTGACCTAAAATTAACTGTATTGTAATTTTTACTGAAAGTTTGAGTTTCATAAACCATTGCACTAATATAGTGTAACTACTTTCACCAAAAACATAATGTTTGGGAGTTTTACATCCACTATAGTTCCACATCATTGTTCTGGACCAGCTTCCTCATACTGACATTGGTTGCGCAATGTATGCTGACATGGTCATTTGTAGCCTCCATCAGGTGTGCATGTGACAGAGTCACAAAGCAGGAGCAAAAGTAGTTTTCTACCAATAAAAAAACAAAAAACAAAAAGTTAGCTGGGTGAGGGTCTTTTCATGTGGTTTAAAGGGCAACATTGAAAATGCAAAATTCTTTAAATAACATGCATGTTGTGATGTGTTAAAGCTGCAAGTGATGCTACAGAAAGGTACAGTTAAAGCAGATTTTCAGTAAAACTGTTTTAAAACAAAATGTCAGCAGGTACAAAAACACACTCACCTGTCCCTCAATCCCACGGTGTCCTCCCCACAGCCCGTTTCACCTTGTCCTGTGTTATTTATTTATTATTTATTTCAGGTACTTATATAGCGCCGTCAATTTACGCAGCGCTTTACTTATATTTTGTACATTCACATCAGTCCTTAACCCTCAAGGGGCGTACAATCTAACCTGCATGTTCAGTGTGGGCACCTGACTGTGACAGCTTGCGGCTTCACAGCTGGGTGCCCACTGTGCATGCGTGGGTAGCTCTGCACTTTCTGAATGGTCCTGTAGTCTTCCAGGACCTGCCACATATCCCAGAAGACTACGAGGAGGGAGGTGAGGACAACTTCGGTTCCTTGATCGCCTATGCAATTGCAGCGGAAGTGAGAGCGGGTACCTCTCAATTTTGGGTACCGCTCCCTCCCCACCCCAAAGGTGCCAATCCTTAGCGGGGCATGGGGAACCAGTCCTTAAAGTGGAACTTCCTCTTTTGGGTGAAGCTCCGCTTTAAAAAAAAAAACAGATGGTTCGAAGGGGAAAAGTTGCCTGGCAAGCTCCCTCCAGCACCTTGCTTCCATGTTAAGGGGACGAGGACCTCATTCCCACTTGACACCATGACAAGGTTCTTTATTTGAAAAAAAAGTAAGTTCCCCAGTGTAACTACACTGTTAATCATGTCATCCAACAATGTAAGCCCAGAGGTGATCATGATGACCTACTGTCACAAAAACTCGCCACCTAAAGATGTTGCACTGCTACCTGACGAGTTTATCCCTGTCTTTTTGACAGATCCTTATCACTAACCATATCACCTTTTTTGACCAAATTCTTTTTTCTTTTTTCAAGCTTTGGTTAACTAATCATGCCCCGGAAAGGGTCCGTCCGGCTCTTGAAAGATCTCTAAAGGATCTTGGGCTAGATTACGTGGATCTGTTCCTAATCCACACCCCTGTGGAGCTTAAGGTATGTTCATACACATATACATCTCTATACAGGCTTGTGTGACAATGATAAAATGATCAGGTAAACCACCATGACCAATTACAACTTGGTTTTCTTCTGACTGCTCTAAAGTTATGGAAACAACATGAATTGTCACCTTGGATTATAGCACATCTTCGCTTCTGTCTCTTAATTCCTAATTAAGGCTTTATTAAACAGACCGTATAGTTTATTTTTTCAGTCAGAAAAGTGTAAATATGAAATAATAATATTCAATACTTCTTAGTCATCAATTGTAGCTACTGAAGCTCTAGGCTTATTTTTATGATCAGCCTAATTCTTATTGATCTTTTGGAGAAGGGGGGAACAAAACACACACATTATATACACACAGTATCTCACAGAAGTGAGTCCATCCCTCACATTTTCGTACATATTTTATTCTATCTTTTCATGTGACAACACTGAAGAAATGACACTTTGCTACAATGTGACGTAGTGAGTGTACAGCTTGTATAACAGTGTAAATTTTCTGTCCCCTCAAAATAACTCAACACACAGCCATTAATGTCTAAACCTCTGGCAACAAAAGTGAGTACACCCCTAAGTGAAAATGTCCAAATTGGGCCAAATTCGCCATTTTCCCTCCCTGATGCCATGTAACTCGTTAGTGTTACAAGGTCTCAGGTGTGAATGGGGAGCAGATGTGTTAAATTTGGTGTTATCACTCTCACTCTCTCATACTGGTCACTGGGAGTTCAACATGGCACCTCATGGCAAAAAATTCTCTGAGGATCTGAATAAAAAGAATTGTTGCTCTACATGAAGATGGCCTAGGCTATAAGAAGATTGCCAAGACCCTGAAACTGAGCTGCAGCACGGTGGCCAAGACCATACAGAGTTTAACAGGACAAGTTCCACTCGCCATGGTCGACCAAAGAAGTTGAGTGCATGTGCTCAGTGTCATAGCCAGAGGTTGTCTTTGGGAAATAGACGTATGAGTGCTGCAGAGGTTGAAGGAGAGGGGGTCAACCTGTCAGTGCTCAGACCATAAGACCTACACTGCATAAAATTGGTTTGCATGGCTGTTGTCCCAGAGGGAAGCCTCTTCTAAAGATGATGCACAAGAAAGCACGCAAACAGTTTGCTGAAGACAAGCAGACTAAGGACATGTTATAAATATATAGTGCCGCGCTCCTATTTACTTGTATATATAACCTAATTCTTGGGGTACATGAATTAATATCTGAAACAATTCATAAATCGCCTTGACTAGTGAATAAAAATAATCAATAATAAATAATAAATGATAATGAGTCAACTGTGAATCACTATAACTGGTGAATCAAAAAATATAGATATAAATAAATCAACAACCTTCATACATGTGACTGATATCAGTCAATCCTTAATTAAATGTGACTGTAAAAAAATTCAAATAAATACAATCCTAAATTTGTGCCCCTCTGATCTGCTGTGATCACTCCATCTATATTGTGCAAAAGCATACATAAATGTGCAAGTGCAAATTCATATAATAAAAAACAATGAATTAAAAGTCTTTCAAATAAGTGCAATGTGCAGGTGGATTCCTTATTCCCTCTCGCCGAGTGCTTAGTGGTCTCCCTATGCGCTCACCTTAATATTTGCCTGAATAAATTCAGGCAAATACGCTTTTAATCCTTCCAGGATTGATGGGATGATACTCTTATATAAGCTGTTCCAGAAGGTAGGTGTGGATCTATAGGGATTCTCCTGTGCTCTCCTCTTTCCCCTTGTGCAGCTGCTCATAAATGGATATTCTGACCAGCTCTCTAGGAATCTCCTACTTCCCCTCCTGGGGTCACCACCTTCTCAAGTCCTCCTTTCACCAGTATGAGGAATGTGGGTCAATTGAAAAAGAGAGGAAAAAAAGACCATGGTGCCTTATCCTTATGTATAATGGAAATTTATTGCTGCCAGTTGCAGTATTGCACAGCGGTATATGGCTCTGATGTGATCCAGGACAGCATAGATGATAACATTCAGTAATACTCTGCCTCTGCCTCTGTAATGCTGTCTGCCTCCGTCTGCACTGGAATCACCGAGCCTCTCCGATGCAACGTCGTGATGTCAGAGCCCCTCCCCTACGCGTTGCGTCACAGGGTCACGTGACTTCATCAGGGAAAAATGATTGGATGCCACGACTATGCCCATTCACCTATATATCTCTCGGCCGCCATTTTACCGAAGCCCACATGGGCGCGGCCATTTTCCCAGTGATTTCCTTTAGCTATATTGAAACTCAGTGTTTGTTCCTATGTGTCCACTCGAGTGCTAGATAATATCTGTCCGTCAGACGTTGCTAGTCGGGTCAGCTGTGTTCCATCTCTTATATTGCAGTTTATACAACATGGCAAATGCCTATACCTTACATTGCTGAGTATATACCTTTAGGCAGGCTACCTAAAAACCATAAAACACTCTTTATTAATATAAAATTAAGTATTAAAATATGCAGATTAAAAATGAGAATTAAAAGTGAATATTTACTATTGCATATAGAAAATATTAATTATGGACACCATACATATCGTTTTTTTATCTGGCCTAATATTATCAATATTATAACGTAATTAATATCTCACATCATCTTATGTAAATCCTATTTGTACCCTTATTATTAAAGGGATATTTGATTAGATTAAATTTATTTTATTATTTGAAATATGTAAGCTCTATACATTTATGTGTATTATTATGCTCACATTTTTTTAAAACCAGCTAAAAATAAAAGTAGTTCAGAATAGAAATAATAATAAAAAAAAAAAAATTATAAAATATAATAGAATAAATTAAAAATATATAGATACTATAAAACCATCCTATGAATAATTAATGGACTCAGAGTATGATTACATGCTATCTCCGTCTACATACTTATTTATTACTGATAAAACATGCAAGGTCAAACTCCTTGTTCAACCCATTGGGAGCTAGACAACCCATTTCATAGATCCACTTTGATTCCTTCTTGCTGATTTCCCTTACTAGGTTGTCACCCCTCCAGTGTTGTACATGTTTTTCTATGCCCCAAAACTCTAATTTTCTTGCATCTTTATTATGATATTTCTTAAAGTGCTGTGATAAGTGATGATATTTGTATCCCCTATTTATATTGTATACATGCTCTTTTATTCGTTCTCTTAGCATCCTTTTAGTGCGACCAATGTATATCAGGTTGCATGGGCATTTCAGAGCATAGATAACCCCTCTTGTGTCACATGATATGAATTGCTGGATAGTATATTCTTTTCCACTTATGGGATTCTGAAATGTGAATCTTCTCCTGGGGTTATTTACCAATCTGATGCAACTGTAGCATCTACCACAAGTATAGAACCCCTTTCCCTGAAAGAAACTTATTTGATGATTTTTAATAGGTGGTGCTATTATGCTTTTGACAACATTATCCCTAATGTTGGGAGCTTTTTTGTATATAAACCTTGGTATTTCTGGGATATTATTTTTCAAGTGCTTATCTAATGTTAGAATCTTCCAGTGTTTCTTTATTATATTTTGTACTGATTTGTACTGGGTATTATATTGTAACACTACTGATAGTTCCTCCTTTTCAGTATTCTCTTTTTGTTTATCTGCTATCAGTTCATTATGATCCATAGAGCCTACTTGCTCCCTTTCCTTTTGTATTATTTCTTTTTTATACCCTTTGTTTATAAATCTTTCTGATATTATTCCACTTTGTTCTACATAGTCCTTCATGTTTGTACAGTTCCTTTTCAGCCTAATAAATTGGCCTCTGGGGATATTTGTTAACCACGCTTTGTGATGGCAGCTGTCTATGGGGATGTATGCATTTCTATCAACTGATTTAAAATGGTTTTTAGTGTATAATTGTAGTCCCTCTTTAAAAATTTGAATATCTAGAAAATTTATAGAGGTTTCATGTATATCATAGCTCAATTTTATATTAGCTTCGTTCCTATTTAGATCGTCATAGAATTTAATGAGTTCTACTTTTTCACCATTCCATATCACCAGTAGGTCATCAATGTACCTCTTGTATGTTACTATTTCTGTTTTCTTATTCTGAAACACTGATTCATCTTCCCATTTCGCCATATAAAGATTAGCAATGCTAGGGGTGAATTTAGCGCCCATAGCTACTCCTTTTCTTTGGGAATAGTGTGTGTTACCATACCAGAAATAGTTGTGAGTGAGACAAAATTTTAAACATTTTATGATGAATTTTTTATGTCTATTGGTGATGTTTCCATATTTGTTCAGCGCCCATTTGGCTGCTTCTATAGCCCCCTGATGATCTATGTTAGTGTACAGTGCTGCTACATCTGCTGTACTCAAAAGCGTGTTTTTATCTATTTGTATGTCCTTCATTTCCTGTATTACATGTTTTGTATCCCTTAAGTATGCTCTAGTTTTAATTACTAATGGCTGCAAATAATTGTCTACATATTCACCCAGTCTCGCTGTGAGTGAATCTATCCCATTAATAATGGGTCTGCCTGGCGGATTGGTACTATTTTTGTGAATTTTAGGAACTGAATACATGATGGGTAGTCTACATACTGATGGTATTAGATATTCATGTTCTTTCTCATTTATCACTCCCTTCTTTTTCCCATATGTAACTAGTTTTATTAGCTTTTTCTTATATTCCTTAGTAGGGTTATTGATTAGCACTTCATATGTGTCTTTATCATTAAGCATTTCTGTCATATAATTGATTCATAATAGGTCCTTGATTGTATCACTATGCCCCCTCCCTTGTCAGCTGGGCGTATTACAATATCATTCCTCTTTTTCAATGTATCTAGGCCTCTCTTAAGATTGGTCGCCATTTTAGGTTTTCAGAATCCCATAAGTGGAAAAGAATATACTATCCAGCAATTCATATCATGTGACACAAGAGGGGTTATCTATGCTCTGAAATGCCCATGCAACCTGATATACATTGGTCGCACTAAAAGGATGCTAAGAGAACGAATAAAAGAACATGTATACAATATAAATAGGGGATACAAATATCATCACTTATCACAGCACTTTAAGAAATATCATAATAAAGATGCAAGAAAATTAGAGTTTTGGGGCATAGAAAAACATGTACAACACTGGAGGGGTGACAACCTAGTAGGGGAAATCAGCAAGAAGGAATCGAAGTGGATCTATGAAATGGGTTGTCTAGCTCCCAATGGGTTGAACAAGGAGTTTGACCTTGCATGTTTTATCAGTAATAAATAAGTATGTAGACGGAGATAGCATGTAATCATACTCTGAGTCCATTAATTATTCATAGGATGGTTTTATAGTATCTATATATTTTTAATTTATTCTATTATATTTTATAATTTTTTTTATTTTTTTATTTTATTATTATTTCTATTCTGAACTACTTTTACTTTTTTTTAGCTGGTTTTAAAAAAATGTGAGCATAATAATACACATAAATGTATAGAGCTTACATATTTCAAATAATAAAATAAATTTAATCTAATCAAATATCCCTTTAATAATAAGGGTACAAATAGGATTTACATAAGATGATGTGAGATATTAATTACATTATAATATTGATAATATTAGGCCAGATAAAAAAACGATATGTATGGTGTCCATAATTAATATTTTCTATATGCAATAGTAAATATTCACTTTTAATTCTCATTTTTAATCTGCATATTTTAATACTTAATTTTATATTAATAAAGAGTGTTTTATGGTTTTTTTAGGTAGCCTGCCTAAAGGTATATACTCAGCAATGTAAGGTATAGGCATTTGCCATGTTGTATAAACTGCAATATAAGAGATGGAACACAGCTGACCCGACTAGCAACGTCTGACGGACAGATATTATCTAGCACTCGAGTGGACACATAGGAACAAACACTGAGTTTCAATATAGCTAAAGGAAATCACTGGGAAAATGGCCGCGCCCATGTGGGCTTCGGTAAAATGGCGGCCGAGAGATATATATATAGGTGAATGGGCATAGTCGTGGCATCCAATCATTTCCCCCTGATGAAGTCACGTGACCCTGTGACGCAACGCGTAGGGGAGGGGCTCTGACGTCACGACGTTGCATCGGAGAGGCTCGGTGATTCCAGTGCAGACGGAGGCAGACAGCATTACAGAGGCAGAGGCAGAGTATTACTAAATGTTATCATCTATGCTGTCCTGGATCACATCAGAGCCATATACCGCTGTGCAATACCGCAACTGGCAGCAATAAATTTCCTTTATACATAAGGATAAGGCACCATGGTCTTTTTTTCCTCTCTTTTTCAATTGACCCACATTCCTCATGCTGGTGAAAGGAGGACTTGAGAAGGTGGTGACCCCAGGAGGGGAAGTAGGAGATTCCTAGAGAGCTGGTCAGAATATCCATTTATGAGCAGCTGCACAAGGGGAAAGAGGAGAGCACAGGAGAATCCCTATAGATCCACACCTACCTTCTGGAACAGCTTATATAAGAGTATCATCCCATCAATCCTGGAAGGATTAAAAGCGTATTTGCCTGAATTTATTCAGGCAAATATTAAGGTGAGCGCATAGGGAGACCACTAAGCACTCGGCGAGAGGGAATAAGGAATCCACCTGCACATTGCACTTATTTGAAAGACTTTTAATTCATTGTTTTTTATTATATGACTTTGCACTTGCACATTTATGTATGCTTTTGCACAATATAGATGGAGTGATCACAGCAGATCAGAGGGGCACAAATTTAGGATTGTATTTATTTGAATTTTTTTACAGTCACATTTAATTAAGGATTGATTGATATCAGTCACATGTATGAAGGTTGTTGATTTATTTATATCTATATTTTTTGATTCACCAGTTATAGTGATTCACAGTTGACTCATTATCATTTATTATTGATTATTTTTATTCACTAGTCACAGCGATTTATGAATTGTTTCAGATATTAATTCATGTACCCCAAGAATTAGGTTATATATACAAGTAAATAGGAGCGCGGCACTATATATTTATAACATTGTATATACACTAGCAAGTGAGTCTGTGCAAGTGCCAGCGCACCAAGCACATTAAATTAGCAGATAACTTTATATTACCCACTGAATGCCTCATTTATAATAGCTCACAAGTATTCACCATTTAGACTAAGGACATGGATTACTGGAACCATGTCCTGTGGTCTGATGAAACCAAGATAAACCTATTTGGTTCAAATGCTGTCAAGCGTGTGTGGCAGCAACCAGGCGAGGAGTACAAAGACAAGTGTGTCTTGCCTAAAGTAAAATATGGTGGGGGGAGTGTCATGGTCTGGGGCTGCATGAGTGCTGCCGACACTGGGAAGCTACAGTTCAATGAGTAAATTGGGTGTCCACATACTTTTAGCCATAAAGTAGGTGTGGTGATCTGATGTCCACAAACTTTTGGCCACTTGGTGTAAATCTAGGGGGAATCGGTGAGATCTCTTTTGAGTATCTGGGTCTGCAATTCTGCTCTGCTCCTGCAATCCCTGCTGGATTTTTATTCAATCTTGTATTTATGTAGGGACCTGTGCTAAGCAAGTGTGTCCCTACCTTGAATTGCTGCACTGTAGCCAGCCTGAACATGGATTGTTCGAATTCTGCTTTCGTCAAGGTTTTTGTAAGCTCTGTTTTAGGGTTGGTTCACACCAGAACCCACATTCCATGCTAGTTTCCCTCACAGCATTTAAAACTCCCTGTGATTTAATTGTGAGGTATGAATAATTGTCTCTCTCTGGCCAACTCTTAGGAGATATATTTACAATGGTGCATGCTAGAAGAGATTATAAAACTTTGGGTTTATCTTCTAAAAGCTCTCTGACTTTGACAGGTGGAGCTGGAACGCACAAGTTAATGGGAACAACAAAACTCCCAGAACAGAGCTGTTGGAATGATATCTCCCTGCCATACTCCTTGTCCCAAGTATACTGGTGTGCATTTACTGTTAGAATCTAGAGAATGTGTGTTGTTTTTTTGTTTTTTTTTTAATATTCAGAAATACAAAGGTTAATGTGTGAGTGTTCGCTAAAGTTGAACTTTGGTAACATTTTTATTTTTGCATTTTTTTTTTAAAGCAGGATTTTTCTACATAATCATAATTTAAATTCAGTATTGTGATGGAGCAAAGACAAGATAGTAAAGATTGGCATATGGTATGGCTACATTACTGCTTTTAAGTGCCCCCTCTTACTAGTGTGGTATCTCTGAAGATTGATGCCCACTGCAAACCAGAATGTGAACCATGTTTCTTCCTCCCCAGCCTGGAGATGATCCATTTCCCAAAGATGAAAATGGAAAATTGATTTTTCACAACACCGATATCCGGGATACCTGGAAGGTAAGAACGGAGATTTGGTCATTCATTCTGGGCTCAGCCATGTTTGTTGGGGAGGGCTTAAAAAATGTTAAATCACTACAATCTCGTATAAGCTGTAGGTTTTATAAAGTCTTGTGTTTGTTAATTTAAAAAGTTTACCTGCTCTGTGCAGTGGTTTTGCACAGAGAAGCCTGGATCCTCCTCTTCTCGGATCCTCCACCAGTGATCCAGGCCCCTCCCTCCTGTCCCCAGTTTGCTCTGGGGGCACCCAAGCAGGATCGCTCCCATTCACACACAGAGCTGCAGCTTGGCCCCACTCCTCCTTCCCCTTATTGGCTCACTGGCTGTGATTGACAGCAATGGGAGCCAATGGCTCCCGCTGCTGCCTCAGTCAATCAGGAGTGAAAGTCCCTGGAGAGCTGAAGTTCTCATGGACATCACTGGATCAAGAGGGGGCTCAAGTGCTGCACACAGGAGGTTGTTTACCTTCATGCATAGAATCAGGGCCGTGGATAAGGGGTTACTACCAGTCCTCCTCCTGTACGGGGCCCAGGCCAGCAGGGGGCCCAGTCAGCCGGGTGAAACAAATATGGGCAGGGAGGGTGATCGGCATGGTGGGGGGCAATTACTGGAACTGCTCCCCTGAATGGCTCATTCTGCAGCAGATGAAAGCTGGTTTCTTCTCTCCTGCTGGCATTTAGCTGCGGCAGATAACCCAACAAGGGATCCTTGTAATCCCCCCCCCCCTGCTGCCTGTGCACTATACATTTTCCCCTGCTACCTAGGCCCCCCTTGCATGCATGCCCCCCATCCTAGCAGTGCTGCCAGCTTCCCTCCTCTCCTCCCCACTGGCAGCTGCAAGCACACATTAGAATCCTTCAGGATGGAGAGTGGGGGAGGGGTCCAGTAAACATGTCACATTTGCCAGCCCCTTCCTTTCCTATGTTCATTTCATAACTGGCTGTATGGGGACCCGTGGTTTCTAACAGCAGCCCTGCATAGAATGCATGAAGGTAAAAAAAAACCTTCAGCCTTTAAAACTATTAAAGCCACTTTCACATTGATCTGATTTTTGCGTTTAAAAAAGCGGAAGAAAAATGCATGACCATGAAATCCTATGGAACTCTTCACACTGATCAGTTACAGGTTCACTGCATTTTGTAAAATCCTGCTTGCTGCATGTTTAGCACGTGTTTTCTGCTGTGAAAAAAGAATCGCACCAAAAAAGCACCTCCCTAATGAAATGAATGGAAAACGCATCTGTGGTTGCGTTTTTGGTGCATTCTTTGAGTCACATGTCCTTTTTTCACAGGTGCAAAAATTGGTCTGCGTTTTTGCAGTGGAGCACGGTGAAAGTAGCCTTACTTTTTAATGATCTGACATAGCGGCTTGTTTCAAAAATGGTCTGGTTTTCTATTTAAATACACAAAAATAAATTGCTTCTAACAGTTGTTAGCAATGATGTCATGGTATGTTGTTTCAGGGAGTATTTGGGCTCGTTCACACCATACGTGCATGAAAACTGATGGAAACTGACGTGCAAATTTCACTAACAGAGACATCCGTTTACATCAGTTTTCATGCGCACTCCAATGAGTTTTTATACACGTTGCAGATTCCTGCACAGAAAAAATTAGCATGTGATACTAGTGTGAACAGGGCACATAGAGAACAATTCACTTTATTGTACCCTTGCAGAACACGTGCAGAAAAATTGACGTCTCTGCGCCATGGTGTGAATGAGCCCTTAGAGATCAGGAAGGATTTTTTCACATCAACTGAAAGTTTAGAGTTCTGAAGATGTAAGGTGTTTATGTGTTTCTTGTTTAACCCATCGGGTGTGTGTCTCTTGTTTTCCAAGCTGACTAACTATGTGACTGGTGATTTCCAGGCTTTGGAGGCTTGTAAAGATGCCGGACTGGTCAGATCAATTGGTGTGTCCAACTTTAACCGCAAACAACTGGAACTGATCCTAAATGCGCCGGGACTGAAGTATAAACCTGTCTGTAACCAGGTAACTACAGTGATTAAATGGGAAGAGACTTAAGGAAACCTAGCATTTATATAGAAAAAAAGGTCAATTGTATTACCTTACATAGCCTGCTAGCCTCCACTCCCCTGCTGCTGCTTGCCAGACAATGCAGCCACACGTTTGGCTCTTCTTTCTTGCCTCTCATTGGCTGCAGAGTCCTGCATCCTGTCAACGCCTGCAGCCTACTAGCCTTCCATTGCTCTTGTATCTTTTTGTTTGCACCAGGTTCAAAATTCACAAACCCACCTGGGACTTTTGATAGCTTACCCATGAACTGACCCTTGCCCGTTATTGACCACATCTTCTGTGGTCAAAATTAAAGAGCCAAAAACTAAATTTAGCCAACCTAGACCAGGGGCACTAGATTAATTTTCTCCATCCTCTGAAGATACATGAATCTCCCAAGTACCACATGTACCTTTTTATTTTTGCTTTGCTCAGCTTTGTGTGCTGCTTGGCCTGAGACTATAGTATTATGTAAGTGCAGAGCCTTAAGGAAACTGGCACTGCTATAGGCAAAGGTACACTAGCTAGTTATATTCTTTAGCTTCATGTACAGGAGTGAGCATTACAGGTAGGTGTTTATATTGTAGTGCCCCAGAAGGCTACTAGTGGTTACATTTCGTTTTTGGCCTCTCTCAGGCCCGGGAGAGCATTAATTGTTTGGGTGCTCTGGGTTCTGTTGGTGCAGGCTCAATTTCTTTCCCATGTATCCCAGGGATTATTGGGACATGGAGGGTGGAACAATATAGACCCTGCATATTAATGTCTCTTCCGCCAATCCCTGGTCAGTGGAGTGAGTGACCAGCAGGGGACTGGAAAGGGTATTTTTTTTCTTCTGTATGTAATAACAGTATACATGTAAATTATTTGTGTGTATTGTATTTTGTCATACATTTGATGTCATCAGGGGCTCCCCTGACTACGTCAAACCTATGATGAAATGTGTTGGGTGGAGCTTAACGTGATGTCACCATGCTGAACGACCACCAGCCAAAACGTCTATGTATTGCATTGGAATTGCTGTAGCCCCATGATTCTTTGTTTTTAAACCAATTGTAAGTGCAATATTTTTCTTTAATAAACTTTTATTCAAGAATATACTGCATGATTAGCCTTTATATCCTACTGGGAGGGGTGGATTTTTTCGCCTTTTCCTTTGACTGGATTCACTTTCTTTTATGGAGTTTTATTTGAGCACATACTTTAGTTGTGTTTTACTTTTCAAAATAATAATTTTGATTAATATTTTAGCTCTGCACTTTTTGCACTATATCATTTTGAGGTTTTGTATATTTTACCTGTGCTAGGTGCTTTCACCATATGATTATTTAATCTGATCACAGAAATGCATTTGGATTGAAATTTTATCAGAGAATGGAACCTGGGACCAAACGGCTAGACCAGTCCCAGCTCTGTGCTACATTATATTGGCTGTAGAAGTACTTCTCAAATGTCAGTAAAGTTTCTCTATTATCTATATTACAGTATATCAAGTAGTAGTGGGTTCGATCCAGCAAAATCCAGCTACTTTGCAGAATTAATCAGTTCAGGACAAGGTGGTACTAAGGCCTCACTTTCTGTAGTGAACAGCATATTTAAGCCACCAGACTGGTTTGTGCCTTATCTCTGTACTACCTTTTTGTAATTATTTAATGACATTTTTCAACACCAAAGTTGAAGATTCACAGACAACTGACTCTGAACCCCTGCCACTGTCTGTTTTCTCTCTGCCCCTCTTGTTTGCTCTTTAAACTGAAACGTCCTTCTGTCGTAGAAATAACTAACCTTTTCAGAAAGCCGAGCCCTCTACCTGTCAGATCCTCTCCCTACTGTCCTGGTTAAAGCCTGTCAATCCATTGTCCTCAATAACTGATATAATCCTCTCTTACCTCTGGTATTGTTCAATCATCTTTCAAAAAACAGCTGTAACCACACCCATACTTAAGAAACCTGCTGCAGACCCTAGTGACTTCAGTAACCTTTAGCCCATCTCCAACCTTCCTTTTCTATCTAAAATCCTTGTAAAACGGTTTCTTCTCAGGTTTATGCTTACCAATCTGACCTGTTCGATCAATTTCAATCTGGTTTCTGTCCCCTACATAGCACTGAACTGCCTTGGTAAAATCAAATTAACTCCTCATGGCAGCTGACTCTGGTCTCATAACTATCCTCATCAACTTTGATCTGAGTGTGGCCTTTGATACTATTTCACATAACATCCTTCTTGATAGATTAGCCTCTATTGGATTTACTGATACACCAATGAACTGGTTAAAATCTTATCTCTCTGGCTGTACTCCTTTCATCTAACTCAAATCCTTCAAGTATCAACCATCTCCACTTTCTACTGGTGTGCCTCAGGGTTCTTTCCTGGGGCCCCTTCTGTTCATAATCTATCTTCTTCCTGTTGGTCTATTTCGTAAATGTAATATCCACTACCATTGCTATGCATATGACTCCCAGCTCTACCTTTCCCTTCTCTCAGGTAAAGAGTTTGGGTGTCATCCTCGACAGCACACTGTCTTTCCAAGCCCACATCAATAATGGCATTCCGTCAGCATATTCCCATTTACGTAGGATTAATTGCCTCCATCTGTTTCTCACACCCAACAGCACTGCTGTTCTCCTCCACAATCTGGTCACTTCCCACACAGATTACTGCAACTCCCTTCTTTTTGGTCTGTTTCAAGTCCCTCCATAAATTGCAACTGGTTCAGAATTCTGCAGCTCACATCAGCAGAACCCCCTTTTTTAATCACATCACTCCTGTCCTTCAGCACCGTCACTGGTTTCCGGTCAAATATTGTATTTATGTCAAGATTTTGTTCGTTGCCTTTTTAAGGTCATGCACAACCTCGCTCCTCCATACCTCTCTGAACTCCTGCATACCAATAGACCCTCTTGTATTCTTGGCAAGGTTTGGCAAGGGGTTGAGACTCCCTTAAAAGTGTAAGGGGGGGGGAGAGTCTGAGGAGTCAGGTGCAAGGAATAGGAAGATGTGAGGCTGGAGGAGGATGGCTGCCAGGAGGCCTAGTGGGAAATCTCATGATTCACTGGCTCCCTGAGTGAGGACAACCTGTATAGCGGGTTGGGAGCAGCCCAGCTGATAGGCCTGGAAGCAGCAGCCAACCCACAAACAGTACAGGAGAAGATCTGAGGGAGTACATCTGCACCCCCTGGGTGGATAGGGGAAAGAGCTAGTCTACTAGTGACTGTTCACCTCATGTAAAGGAACAGGAGCCAGATCCCCTGCTCAGTTAAAGTCTCCAGATTGCCGGGTGAAGATGAGTTATTCTAGGGTCTAGGGTGGTACAACTAGGAGATGCTGGCTAACACTCCAACAGAGACTGCATCAGAAAAGAAATGCTTGTGAATAGTTCAGGAAGTTGTCGTCAGATATTCGTTCCCTTGGGCATCCTATACCCCCCCCCCCCCAACCTATCCAAGTTCTAACCCCTCAATAAAATAACAAAACCAACGCTCAAGGTTTGTTTTCTATCTCCAAATGCAAGTTTTTTGTGGAAAATGCTGAATGACTAGCTGTGCAGCACTATAGGGGGACCCAATTCATCAGCAATACCTAAGGGGGTAGTGCTACATGTGCAATGTGTTCTTTTGTAGCTACTTTTTTTGTTGCTATCTTTGTAAGGTAAATTTGGGTGTCTAAATAAAAGGTGTCTATAAATTAAATGTATTATTATGCCTTCTGGCAAAGCTGGGTGCTCAAAATACTGTGAGAAAGCACTCCTGCTAATTGCAGAGAAGTTTGAGGGGAGCTCAAGCTAAAAGTCAACACATACACACATTTATTTTCATTTTTTATTTTTTGCTTGCATACTGAAATAAGTTTTTAGCATGGAGTTCTAATTAACCAGTACAATGCTTCTCCCTGCAGGTGGAGTGCCATGTATACCTCAATCAGGGTAAAATGTTGGAATTCTGCAAATCCAAAGACATTGTACTGGTAGGGTACAGTGTCCTGGGATCCAGCAGAGCTGAGGGCTGGTAAGTGCAAATGTAACTAGTGTTACTAAAAGCCGATTTTTTTTAAAAAAAATTTTTAATTCAAATTGAAATTATACTCACCTGCTATGTATAGTGGTATTGCACAGAATGGCCCTGATCCTCCTTCTTGTGTCCCTTGCTGACTATCCTGGCTCTTCCTCTTTTTTTTTTTTTCGTGTCCCCATAAGCAACCCATTTAGGGGACACACACTGCGTGTTTGCTCCTGACCTGTGCATCTACGGAGTCGTGCTCCAGATACACACACAGCAGGACTTAGCCCTGCCCCCCACTTCCTCTTCACATTTGATTGACAGCAGCAAGAACCAATGGCTCCTGCTGCTGTTCGAGTCCCTGCATGAAGAGGAAGCGAGGGAAGAAGAGATGCACCCGAGCACAGCGCTGATCTCTTCTCCCCTCTCTTCTCCTCCACACAGGAAAACAAAATTTTTTTTTACCTTATTCATGAAGGTAAAAAACCGCTGTGCAGCCCCCCCCCCCAGGTAATGCTTATCTGAGCCCCGCCCCCCGCTCTTCAGGGACTCTCCCTCTTAATTGGTTGAGACAGCTTTCAATCACAGCCAGTGAGCCAATGAGAGGGGGCGGGGCCAAGCCACAGCTGTGTGACTGGACACACAGAGCAACGGCTCAGGAGTGGGCCTGCTTGGGTGCCCCTGCAGCAAGGAGCTTACTCTTGGGGGCAAGGGACACTCACTAGGAGTGGCAGACATGAGAAGAGGATCAGGGGCAGCTCTGTGCAAAACCATTACACAGAGCAGGTAAATGTAACCTATGTGTGTGTGTGTGCGCGTGTGTGTGTTTTTTGCCTTTTTAGTTACACTTTTAAATACTGCCAATTGTTTGTGAGAACAGAGTTCTTTAGCAATGATACAGTTAGGGTTTGGATTTGCTTCAATACTGATAATAAAAAGGAAAAAAATCAGCCTCTTGTCTTTTCTCTTAAAGGGTAAACCAAAATTCTCCCAAAATGCTGGAAGATCCTGTTCTCAATGAAATTGCAAAGCATGTTGGGCGGACAGCGGCACAAGTGGCAATGCGTTTTCTGTTGCAGAGAGGGATTGTCATCATTGCAAAGAGCTTCACCCCGGAGAGAATCAAACAGAACTTCCAGGTGACTCAGATGTCAACTGTCCAGAAATGTAATACACTAACACGTACAAATGGGGTACTTCCTAAACAAATACCCATACTACAAAAATGTAATAAAATAGGCAAACTCTTTTATAATGTATAATAGACATCGTGCAAATGCACACAATCCCACAAAAGACCTCCTACTCTCTAGTTCCCATGCCCGTATCCAGGACTTCTCCAGGGCTTCCTCCATCCTCTGGAACTCACTACCCCAATCCATCAGACTGTCACCTACCCTCCTCACCTTTAGGTGCACCCTGAAAACCCATCTCTTCAGAGAAGCCTACCCCGCCCTCACCTAATTGCTGATCTCCTCCGCTCTTCCCACTACTCCATCCCCCACAGCTATTTCCTCCTGTACCACTCTCCCCTCCCTCCTAGATTGTATGCTCCAAGGAGCAGGGCCCTCGAACCTCTCGTGTATTGTATTGCTACTGTGCTGTCTCGTGTACTGTCTCCCATTATAATGTACAGCGCTGAGCAAACTGTTGGCGCTATATAAATACTGTATAATAATAATAATAATAATAAAATGTAACCCACAGCATAAACTCAGAAAATGGTAAATACCATGCTGCTAGCCCCTTTTTATAAATTGTATCAACTAGCAGGCAACTCAAATTGGGTCCGGACAGACCTGAGTCAGTAGACACTGTATAGTTATAGTTATATACAGTGAGGAACAGAAGTATTTGAACACCCTGCGATTTTGCAAGTTCTCCCACTTAGAAATCATGGAGGGGTCTGAAATTCACATTGTAGGTGCATTCCCACTCTGAGAGACAGAATTTTAAAAAAAAATTCAGGAAATCACATTGTATGATTTTTAAAGAATGTATTTGTCTTGCACTGCTGAACATAAGTATTTGAACACCTGAGAAAATCAGTGTTAATATTTGGTACAGAAGCCTTTGTTTGCAATTACAGAGGTCAAACGTTTCCTGTAGTTCTTGACCAGGTTTGCACACACTGCAACAGGAATTTTGGCCCACTCCTCCACACAGATCTCCTCTAGATCTGTCAGGTTTCGGGGCTGTCGCTGAGCAACACGGAGTTTCAGCTCCTTCCAAAGATGTTCTATTGGATTTAGGTCTGGAGACTGGCTAGGCCACTCCAGAAGCTTGATATGCTTCTTACGGAGCCACTCCTTGGTTATCCTGGCTGTGTGCTTCGGGTCGTTGTCATGTTGGAAGACCCAGCCACGACCCATCTTCAATGCTCTGACTGAGAGGGAAAGGAGGTTGTTGCTCAAAATCTCACAATAAATGGCCCCATTCATCCTCTCCTTAATACAGTGCAGTCGTCCTGTCCCCTTCACAGAAAAGCGCTCCCAAAGCATGATGTTTCCACCCCCATGCTTCACAGTAGGGTTGCTGTTCTTGGGATGCAACTCATCCTTCTTTTTCCTCCAAACACGACGAGTGAAGTTTAGACCAAAAAGTTCTAATTTGGTCTCATCTGACCACATGAATTTCTCCCATGCCTCCTCTGGATCATCCAGATGGTCATTGATGAACTTCAGACGGACCTGGACATGTGATGACTTGAGCAGAGGAACCTTCCGTGCAATGCATGATTTGAAACCATGACGGCGTAGTGTTCTACCGACAGTGACCTTTGAAACTGTGGTCTCAGCTCTCTTCATGTCATTCACCAGCTCCTCCCTTGTAGTTCTGGGCTGATTCCTCACCTTTCTTATCATCAGTGATACCCCACGAGGTGAGATCTTGCATGGAGCCCCAGTCCGAGGGAGACTGACAGTCGTCTTTAGCCTCTTCCATTTTCTAACAATTGCTCCAACAGTTGATTTATTTTCACCAAGCTGCTTGGCAATTGCCCCGTAGACCTTTCCAGCCTTGTGGAGGTCCACAATTTTGTCTCTGGTGTCTTTTGACAGCTCTTTGGTCTTGCGCATGGTAGTAGTTGGCGTCTGACTGACTGTGGGGTGGACAGGTGTCTTTAAAGAGCTCAGACAGGTGCTACTAAGTTAGATTAATGAGTGGAGTAGAGGTGGACTTTTTAAAGGCACAGTAACAGGTCTTTGAGAGCCAGAATTCTTGCTGTTTCTTAGGTGTTCAAATACTTATGTTCAGCAGTGCAAGACAAATGTATTTTTTAAAAATCATACAATGTGATTTCCTGAATTTTTTTTTTAAATTCTGTCTCTCAGAGTGGGAATGCACCTACAATGTGAATTTCAGACCCCTCCATGATTTCTAAGTGGGAGAACTTGCAAAATCGCAGGGTGTTCAAATACTTCTGTTCCTCACTGTACCTTATGTATGAAACAAAATAATAAGGAACATACAATAAATGAGATGTAGGTACAAAGGTGACCATGCTAAATCCTACTAATGAAAAAAATTAAATGAATCAGAAAAACAAATACAATAAAGCTAAAGCTGTTGGAACAGACGATGCAGTGTATCCCAGATCATTTCATAACCACTAGCCTACAGGGCACTTATACCCCCTTCCTGCCCAGGCCAATTTCCAGCTTTCAGCGCTGTCACACTTTGAATGACAATTGCACGGTCATGCCGATTACCAGCTCTCCTCTCGAGCTGTCAGCGTGACAGCTCGTGAGGAGAGAAATGCCGATAACTGGCATTTCCCTGTTTACATGTGATCAGCTGTGATTGGACACAGCTGATCACACGACCGAGCCGACATCTTCGGCTCTTCCCGTGGATCGGTGATCCGCTGTGTTCAAGGGACACAGCGCATCGCCGATCGCTGCGCTGCGCGCTCCCAGAGCCGCGCATGCACGGTGAGAATGGGAGGACATCATATGACATCCTCCCAGAACAATAGAACCGCCTTGCGCCCGTCATTGGACTATATGGCGGGCTGGAGGCGGATAATTACAGGAGATCAAATAGAGACTGGTGCCTAAACGCTCTACACTACACATTGGGGCATATGCATAGTATTTGGGTTTTGTTTTGGTGTGTTACACTGTTGGTTACATATGTGGGTACTTTATGTTTGTTGTTCTAATGAAGGATTGTTCTATTTATATTCATTTTATGATTTGTGTATTTGTTTAGGGGTACCCTAATTTTATCTATCTAGTGTCTTGTTGCCACCCTGTCTGCACACTTGATTATGCTGGTTTGTACTGTTTTGGAAGATCTGACATTTCTGCCAGTACTCTGCATGGCCGCAGAAGTACACATCAGTCTCAGTTTGGTGCCAAACGGCTTTTATAAGGAGGCTCATCACTTCCTTAAGTTGCTGGATGATCTCTAGCTCCCCGTACCCTATTCCTGTTTCCTGTTTCCAGTGATTCTAACCTGTGATTTCCTGTTACCGACTCGGCTTGCTCCTGGACCTGTCTACTCTTGTAAGGGAATTCCCGTGAGACGGCTGGCGAATAGACGTGCGCATGCGCACAGAAATGCATGATCACGCACACGCACGGCGAAGATTGGCACCAGATGGACTATTTAAAAGGTGCCTCTGCCTGTGCTGAGTGCTGACTGGTCTTCAGCTGTTCCCTGTTTCCTGCTCGTTCCTGTGTGATTTCCTTGTTGCTGACTCGGCTTGTTCCTGAACTGAATTTGATTACTCTCCTGCTTGATACTTGTTCCTGACTTCGGCTCTGCTCCTGACTTTGGCTTGCTTCTGATTTTTTACCTCGCTGTCCGCCCGTTGATGACCCTGGCTATTCCTTTGACACTGCTCCTGTCTCCAATCCCTGCTTCCTGCCTTGCTCTGGTGCACACCTGGCAATCTACCATACCAGCTCTGCATATTATTACAGTGCCTGAATCGGAGGTTCATCAGTCTTTCAAAGTCTCCAACTGCAAGAGCTGCAAACAACATTTGCTGGCGCTCTTGTTCCCCTGGTCCCTAGACACCCTCTGTTCCACTTCCAGTAGGGTCAGGGCTAGCGACACAAGTGAGGCCGACCTCGTCATTTCAGACTCCAATCAGGTACTTGACAACTCTGCTTTACCCCTGATCTGACCTCGGCTTGGCTTACGGATACTCTCTCTCTCGCTCCTCTGTGTATGACCTCAGCTATCCCATCTGACTACGTTTGCTTTGATTCCCACCTGGTACCTGACCTTGGCTTGGACCGACTACCCAGTAAACATCTAAATCCCAGAAGGGTTTACATACCACGCACAGGCGTTTCCTGTCTGCAGACCTATCTTCATGCACCAGCTGTGCTTCTGAGTGGACCACCAACCAGCACTCCTACAGGTGACCTGTGCAACTTTGGGCCAGACTCCCGCTGTCCCACTCTCAGGGGAGTCCGGAACTTAGCTGCAAGGGAAGCCCTCTCTCCATTGGCCTCCATCACCAGGTACGTCATAGTATCATCCAGCCAGTATGCCCGAGGCTGAGAGAGGTGCTTCCGCACTAGAGGCCCTGTGCCAACAGATGATGGCACTTACCCAAGCAGTGAAGGATCTACAGCAAGGACACTTCCAGCTAGAAGGGCGTCTTCACTCCCTCTCTATTTCCGTGGACCAGGATCCCTCCATCAGTTCCAATCCAGTAGCTGCACCTGCCAGTCAGTCTCCTGCCACTACTCCTGCTATAGTGTTACCACCTCCGGAACCCAGAGTTCCTACTCCTGAACGTTTTCTCAGGGATCGACATAAATTCTGAGCTTTCAAGAATACTTGTGAATTATATTTTGCTCTGCAACCCAGGACCTTTTCTCTGGAAGCGGTCAAGGTCGGGTTCATCATCTCCCTCTTGTCTGAAGAACCTCAGTCTTGGGCATATGGTCTTCTGGAACAAAAGAGCCCAGCACTTAATTCATTGAGTGAATTCTTTGAAGCCATGGCTGCCCTCTACGATAATCCCCAGAGGACCTCCACTGCTGAGTCCGCCCTCCATGCTCTACTACAGGGTCGGCGGCCTGTGGAGGACTACATAGTGGAGTTCCGTAAATGGTCTGCAGACACCGATTGGCACGATGCAGCATTAAAGTATCAGTTCCGCCTAGGCCTGTTCGAG